TTTGTACACTGACAATGTGAACATTTAAATGTACAGTATACCTCATTATAGATATTAAAACAAAAATAATAAAAAGAGCTGCCCAGATCTGGCATCGCTATTGACTCATATCCACTGAGATCTGACACATTTGTCTCCTGTTCCTAAAAGTCCAATAAGACGGTGAACTGTTGAGGACTAGAAAATCAGCCACTATTTCCATAGGAGACATTGCTACCTTTTGAAGCTAAACATTTTAAATGTTCTTCAATATTACATTTGTTAATTAGTCTTTCTAGCCTTGCAGATGTAACCAGTCCATCATGGAACTATACAGAAGCAATATCTTTTTTAAAAACATAATAATTTTTTTGGCTAGTTGGAAACAGCTGTGTTTCTAGAGGCATAAGATGGAATTCTAAATAAAAGAGATTCGTTTCCTAAGCATTACATTTTTTTCTGATAATTTCTAAGAGAAGGGGAAGTAGTATTTGTTAGATGTATAGTAAGTACAAGATTCTGTGCTAGGTTCCTTTGCAATTATGTGAGATACACAGAGCTGGCCTTACTGCTCTCATAGAACAAACATATTCTCAAAATTTAAGTGATAGAGCTGAATTCCAACCTAGAGCTTTCTAATTCTAAAACTCATCACCGGTACTCTCCATTTTGCTGCCTTGGCTTAGCTGAATAAAGACTTTCAAAATCATTGCACAACCATGGGTAGTGTGATTCAATGGATTAAGTGCTGGCTTGTGAACAGAAGGGTCGCTGGTTTGATTCCCAGACAGAGCACATGTCTTGGTCACAGGCCAGGTCCCCCACTGTGGGTGTTCAAGAGGCAGCCCATTCATGTTTCTCTCGCACACATTGGTGTTTCTCTCCCTCTCTTCCCCTCTCTCTAAAAAATAATAAAAAAAACAACCTTGTAGAGTTGTTGATCACCATGTATAATTATATTTTTGAAGTTTACAGTTAAAAGTTAAAGGATGTATTTTCTAAAACTTGTGGACCATTTAATAGAAAAATGTATGTATGTATTCGTGTCCGCATTCCTTACAAAAGTATAAGTAATGATGCATTTGTTTATGTGTGCACACAGGTACACATCCATATGTACGGATGAACAACAGAGTTTTATCAATTCCTTCACTTTCTCTCAGTTGTTCTTAAAATTTTACTTTAATATTACTTATGTATCATATTCTTCTACTAAATAATGAGTAAGTTTCAGAACAGGGGTTTGTTATATTCATTCTACTAATCCAACAAGCAACACAACATAAATCACACTAAGAGTGTTCAATGAATATGTATTAGTGAATAAAAAAATTAAAGTGCATTCAATAAATTATAAAAATGGTTACAAAATAGTTAATGTTGTATAATTTTTTACAGAGAAAAGAAGAGCTTACTTAAAACATTTTAATCTTCTCTTTCAAATGTCCTAAGAGTGGTGATTTTCAAACATTTTGACTTCAAGGAGCCATTTATACTCTTTAATAGTACTGAGGGCCTTAAAGAGCTTTTGTTTATGTGATTTATAGCTACATATAGATTCTGTATTGTAAGTTAAAACAAAAAATTCAAAATAGTTAATAATGAATTAAAATAATAATAAACTCATTCCATGTTAAAATGAATCACATTTTAAATATAAATGACTTAAAAAATAAAACATGAGAGGAGTGACACTGTTTACATTATGACAAATCTTAATTCTGAGCTAAATATGACAGATGAATTCTCATGTCTACTCTGTAGACAATGTGTTGCTTTTGATAAACTGTGTAGTCACAAGAAAATGAGAGTACAAAAGGCAAATGCTGCCTTAGCATTACTATGAAAACAGTTATAACCTTGTAGACCCCCTGAGAAAATCTTGGGAACCATGAAGGTTCCTTGCTCATACTTTAAGTAGCACGGAGGAGGACAAAAAAAAATAGCATTTTCTATTCCTGTCACTTATGTTAAAATTATTTTTGGTTCCAATAAATAAAGATGTTTTCCCTTTTTTGAGAGGTATACTAATTTTATATAATTCTTATGAAATATTTTAAGGCTATATCCAATTAGAATGGTTTATTAAAATATTATGTAAGATATACAGTATTTGTACTTTCAATGGATTTATATAATAAAAATGAACATTTACTAATAACCATGTCCTCTGTTTGGGAGAGCCAGCTATACTGTATCTTATTTTATCTTATCTTACTTTTAAGTGATTTTTTTAGATTTTCAGTTATACTTGATGAAAAATTATATTAGTTTCAAGTATATAGCCTAGTGATTTGACATTATATAACTTCCCAAGTAATCACACAGATAAATGTAGTAGTATAACCATACTACTATATTTTATTCTTCACTCCTTCCTTGCTTACAAACTTATCTTGTTTTACAAAGGCAGTTAAATTATTAGCTTAGATTAGGTTTTTCACAATTGATAAAGTAACTGGACAAGTTTCTCATGTCTATAAACTTGAGAAACAAACAGAAATTAAATGTTTTATTATAGAAAACCTTATACATATAAAATAGTAGTGACTAGACAATAATTTAACCCAGTGTGGTTAATTTCCCAGGTCCAACAGTTATCAAATCATGGTCAACTTTGATCTATTTCTCCACAATCCTCCACACAGGTAATTTTGAAGCAAATCCCAGATAAGGTATTATTTCATCTTTAAACATCTTAATATACGTCTCTAAATGATATCCTCTAAATTTTTATTGAAAACATTAATATAAAATGGTAACCATAGGAAGAAAAAGTAAGAGTAAATCCTTAATATCACCAAATATCTAGTCAATCCAATTAGGCTTTTGGTTGAGAAGCAAATGAACCAGATTAGCCAGGAGCCCGAATGCTCTGTGCTGGGCTTCCTGCCTCTAAGTGTAGAACTTCTAGAAACTGTTCTTCAGGGCCTGTCATTTCAGGCTGTAGCCTTGCATTTGCATGTATTTAAATCCTTTTAAAGTAGTAAAGCCTCATTTGAAAACGATACTAATTTTTTTAAAAAACTTGGGTTTATGTGACCTAAGGACACATGAGAACTATATTTACCCTGTAGTAACCAATGCAGGGAAAATATAATGGAAAACATTTGTATTAGTATTTTAGGCAAATATCTAAAGAAAAAAAGGGCATTCAGAGAAATACATAGTATGCTATTAGTAAATTTGTTGTTCAAAACAATAATCTATATTTTTCGTTCTGCAAAATCTATAAACTGGAGAAAATTGAATCTAGTTTTCAGACTACAATACTTACAAGAAATCAATAGCTCTTATTTTTGTTACTCTTATATTTTAAAACCTTTTTCCTAACTGTAGTAAAAGAGAGTACATTGAAGTAATGAATGGCAAAATATAATAAGGTTAAGGAAATTATTAACATAGTATAAAAATAATAATATAGTAGAAAAATAGATACAGTATAATAATAGTCCTAATGACTGAGAATAATGGTTTGAAGATTTCTGTTGTAAAAAATAATTTTTGGCATTGCCACAAAGTAGTATATTGTTTTGTCTTATGACCTGGAGGGAACTGAAATATTTTCTAGCAAGTAATTTTTTCTACAAAAACAGTTTAAGATTCACCCCTGGAATTTTCATCAGTAGTTAAAATACAGTCTGCATACAATAGAACCATAAAAGGTTGAATTATCTGTCTCTGGCAGAAGATGAATTACCCAATCTTAAAAGGAAAAGAACATTACGCTCTTAATCGATTCATTCTCTATGAAAATAGAGAAAAATTGCTCAAAGCAAAACCTGTTCCATATCCACATGCTCTATGGTCTAAAATCTGCAAGGAAATATACCAAAAAAATACCTCTTTTTGTTTTTTGTTATCTCAGTCCTACAAAAACAAAACCCCTCTAGCTCATAAATCATGCTGATATTTCACCTATAACATATACCCATGTATATCCATATATATATATATATATATATATATATATATCAACATATAGTATGAATATTTTCTCCTGATATACAGTGTCAATGAAACAGAAAGAATACTTGAATGAGAATATAGTTACTACTTATATATTAAATACCATTAATTTTTATAAATTTATATTTTGTCTCAGGTTTAAATAACAGAATTTTTTATTTGCAATGTAATAATTCTGTCTCCTTTCAAAAGCATCAAAGTCATGCAAGACAAAGGAAGACTGAGACACTGTCAGACTAGAGGAGGTGAAAATGGTATGAAAACTAAATGCCATGAGAGATCTGAACTGGCCCCTGGACCAGAAAAAGAAAAAAAAATTAGTACGTGAGTGAAGGAACTCAAAATTTAGATAAGGCCTGTTGGTGTTTTAATAGTATCTGAGCAAAGTTAACTTCTTGGTTTTGATCATCTCATTGTGGTTACACAGATGTGAACCTTAGGCAAATTGGGGAAAGGGTGGGCAAGAGGACTAAGTGTACTATTTTCAAGGAGTCCTAAATTTTCTTAGAGTCCAACATTATTTCAAAATAAAACATTTAAAAATTGCATCATAATATTTGGTTTATAGAAGGACAGAAATCCAAAAAACCCAATAACTCAGCATAACTGATGATGTTCAAATTCACAAGGTATAGAGGAATTTACTCCTTTGAAGAATCCAAGATAGCTTTTTCTTCCTATGCAAGAAAGGAACTGTTTTATAGTCCCAAACCAGTGACCATATTACTCAGTAGACCAAAAATTATGCAGCATTATAATGCCATGCACACTTTTTAAAATACAGTTAATGAAAATAATAATCTAAACGTGTACCATTCAGTAATTTGTCATATTAATGACCATGCTATTATTCTATTTTCTTGTGTGTTCAAACGTATAGCCTGCTTATATTTTGAAATTTTCCAAAACACATTTAAAACAAAAAGGTGGTATTTTCTAATGTTTAGTCAGTCATCCAAATTGAAATCCAAACATATACACACATACATATATGCGTATCATATATATATGACATTATAAGTAAAGTGACTAGATTATTTGATTTTCTTTACCTGAAACTGTGTGATCCTTAGAGTCTCTCGTTATTTTTATCCTTGCATGAGGAAAGATGTAGTGCACAGTCTTCCCATTCATCTGTATGATCTAAACATACATGTGACAAGGTGAAAAATCTGTATTAAGACACTTAAAGTGCAACATGCAGAATCAGACCTTTTAGAAAAACACATTGAGTCTATCACTAACAATGTAATAAAAATTTCAGAAATGATCACCACTGAAGCATCTTACACTATAAAATATGAGGTGAGATCAACAAATGGAATATACTTATAAAAAAAATTATCCTTACCTGTTTAAACTTCCACCACCTTCAAAGTACTCTCCATTTGATGCAATACACCTATCAAGACTTTTCTACCTCTCAAAACAGTTTTTGAACTCATCAATTTTGATGCCATTTAGTGCTTTTGCTGTTTTTTTTTTTGTTTCACCTCTTCCACATTGGCAAAACGCTTTCCTCTGAGGGCTTTTTTCACCAGGGGAAACAGAAAACAGTCACTTGTGACCATAGGGTGAGAGAGATAGGGTGAATAGCGAGGGTGGGATGCCAGGGTCATGCCATTTTTGGTCAAAAACTGCTGAACTCTCAGTGTGGTGTGGGCAGGTGTGCTCACAAACCACCCATCATGAAATGGGCAAATGCACTGAGTGTTCAAAGAAAAATTCACTGAGGCTGAATGCAGCCTCTCACAACACCACCAGCTGGTACACTGATACAGATGGGTTCCTAAGACGCTTACCTAGTGAGGAAGCCTGTATGACAAGGTGTCTGCCCTCCAGAATATAATTCCATTTTGGGGGGGTCCTCCCTCATTGTATTACTGGTTTCTAAGTTCATTATAGTCATACAAAAATTTTAACTGATTTGTTGTAGTTAGGAAATTAATAAGCACATGCTACAGATTCTAAAAGATGTCTGTTAATACAGTAGTACATAGTCAACAGTGATTAACAGTGCATAAAGCATGCAAAGGAAAACTAACAGCTGCTGATTTTGTTTTGGAGTTAGGGGAGAAAAGCCAGAGAAGATATTCCATATTTCTATCACTATAGTAAGATCACTTTATATTTATGTTGCTTTGGTTTTATTGACAAATTATCCTTTTGCTGAGTACCTTTACTAGAAGTTTCAGTGTATACTGATGCTGAGACTAATTCTGTATAAATAAAATCTTTGCTCACTCTAATACATTCTGAGGCCTTCTTTGTATTCCAAGGTTGTTGTTGATGGTGTTATTTCTCATTTACTTACTGTTGACATCCCTTCAGGAAGGAGAAGCAACACTTAAAGCTATTGTTTCAAGACTGCAATTTCAATTCTCATTATTGAAACTTGAGTATGAAAATATCATAAGCCTTATTATCTCTGTTTCTACCTGCTGAAGGGAGATTTCTGAAGTAAAAGTAAATCAGTGGATGCAAACTATATTTTAGATTTTATGGAACTTTGCTTTTAAAAGAGGTTTGTGAAATAATAAAACATATAAATAGTGGAAAATATTGGCAAGATTTTATTATTATAATATCTTGTATTTATTACCTTAGAAAAATGTTGACTAAAATTACAAATGAAATAAAGTTTAGTGAAGAGACATTTTATATTACCCATTTCAGAGTATGTTTAAAAAGTGCATGGAAATATTATACCAAAATATTAAAAAGAATTTGGAACCAAAAAAGACATACATTTGGTGTAGAAAGATTCCTTTGAATACTTGTGTGGTTTAATCTGTCAATCCAGCTGTAAAACTGTTAGAATTCTAGATATTAAAAGTGAAATACATATTTAACAAGTGTAAGCTTAAATAAAAGCTTTTAGCTTTTATTCCCTTCAGGAAAGAATAAGCTTAATCAAATATCTAACGAATATAAAACCCTCCCCAAACAAGAGGAAAATCCTGCTAAGTCTAGGAATATTATATGAATCCTACAAAGTAAGACTAAAATATTGTTGGTAAGATTATAAACATATTATGGTTAGTATAATCAGTCAATCTAGATAATCTGTACTTATACTGACTTTGTAAACCATTGAAAACCTCATTTATATTCATAACAGTTAAGAGTATACATTTTCCTTCTTTCACCCTCTCTGGCTTCTGTCCTCTTTTTCTGTCTCCCTCTGCCTATCCACCTCTCTTCCTCCATTTTCTCTTACTCTGTCTCCTCTGCCCTACTTACTTTCTACGATATCAGCTCTTCTCCTTCCTGTCTTCCTCTTCTCTCCTTCCTCCCTCTCCTAGTCTGCATTTAAAGATCTTCATTTTTCACTAAATTTAGTAAAAATAAATTTCATGCAGCTGGGAGGAGGGTACATGAAAGGCAATCATATACTGATGTTTCCTCCTCCTCTTTCTCCCTCTCTTCCCCTCTCTCTAAAAATAAATAAATAAATAAATAAATAAATAAATAAATAAATAAATAAAATTTTTAAAAAATGGAGACAATTCTACTTGAACAAAAATAAAAAAAAAAAAGAAAAAGAAAAAACTACCCATGTTAGATTCAGTACACAGAGTGTTCTCTTGGCATTCCATGCACTGTGCTACACCCTGTGTATATAAGGTGGTGGGTGCAACAGGGACTCCCTGCTAAGAGCTCATAGCTGTGAAACAACACATGCAGTACTGTTGTTGCCCCAGATTTGTGGGGAGGTGGTGGTGATAGTATCAGGGAAGGCTTCTTGTAAAATGGGGTATATGCATGGAGACATAAGTGATGTGTAGAGTTTGCCAAGGGAAGACGGGAGGAAGAGCATTCAGGTAGAGGAAACTAGACATTCAAAGGCCTAGAATCAAGAGAAAGGGTGGCTCTTTCAAAGGAGCTTAATGTATGTCACTATAGCAGTTCCACGAGCATTGCAGAAAGTGTGGGCATTAGTGCAGAGAGTGGAGGCATTCTGTACTAGTCAAGCAGTGTTGACCCATTTCCTATAAAAAACAAATAGAAAAGAAGTGTTGACCTTTATAACCACCCTGTGAAGGGTGTCAGTCCTACTTGTAGATGTGACTGAGAAAAATTAACAAAAATATAAAAGGGGTCAGGTAACCTGTTCAATTCACAAGGCAGAGATGAATTTCAACTAAATGAATGCACATGTATATGTATACATATTTTAAAGAAAATAATATAGATTTATAGATTTGGTTTATTTCTGTAGTTAATATAATTTTGAGTCTAAAAGATTTCAAAAGATTTATGTCTCTACTATATGTTATACTAAAATATTGTAAAAAGCAGATATATTAGTATTTGTAGTAGTCAATTTGGTTTTATTACTCTTTCCTCCAGAGCATTTTATGAGCATAAATTCTTGTTATGCATAAGTTTTAAAATAAAATCATCTGGGTTTATTGGTACCCAGAGCTCAGTATTACCTTTTTATGATTAGAGATACAAAGAAGTAAGTAAAATAAGAATATTTTGCTATTTTCTCTCAACCAAATTATAATAAATGAGTAAAAAGAGTATTTGATAATGAATATCAATGCAAAAGGCATATATTCTGAACTTCATATAAATATAATCAAAACACATGTTGTCTTCCATGTAGCTTCTACGTTGAAAAAATTTTTAAAGAAAAACAAAGAAATAATTGTTACACAACAAATATTTGTGGTTTGGGGGGGGTTGAGTATTACCATCTGCAAGGGGCATGGCGGGGAGATTTCTGAGGGCAAACATTTCCTTTCCTGGTCTGTGCAGCAGCTGTGTGGTTGTTCACTTTGTAACTAATTCATAATCCTATACATTTGCAGTTTTGATAACTACATTTCTAGTTTTCTGTGTGCATGTCAGATATCAAAATTAAAATGTAAAAAATTATAAAAATGTAAAAATATAACTTTTAGCAAGAAAGTACACTTCGCTCTATTACATTTACCTACATATAGTTCAAACATAGATTTTTACATTTTCTACTTTATTAAAAACCACAAGAAATTCATTAAATAATTCTTAAACTTGGGGATTATACAGATCTCTAATTATACTGTTTAAACATAATGTACTACATTCTCAGTGAATTGAATTCATAAATATGTAGATGTCAGCAACAGACCATTAGGAACAAAAGTATCATTAGGGATATTAATGCTTTATCTACAGACAGAATACTTAGAGATGTTTTTGAGGTAGAGACATATTACTTTAAAATGCATCCTCAAAGAATACTTGTTGAATAAATAAGTTGGGCAAGACTTCTCTGAGTATACATGAAAAGAGTAGTGTTGGGAAATAACTATATGGAAGCCATTGTTTTTTTAGCTCTCCAGTTTACAGAATTCATCTTATTAGGATTACCTAAAGAATTTTTGTTTTCAGTGACTTGATCTTGGTTTGTGGGAAATGTTAAACTTTAAAAAAAATGAGGTAGGTAAGGCATAAGAAGAAATTTCAAAGAGATTCTTAAAATACATTCCATGAAGTTATTTTCAGCTTCCTAATTTATTATTTTAGTAATTGTAGAAAAAAACATGTAAATTCAACATTTTAAAAACATGTGCAGGATGATTTTATTAATATTGCTTACTCCCCAGCAAGATCTATTTGATGAGATTGAAATACAATAGAAGATCAAAAACTGTGAACAGTATAATGACAATAAACTCATAACTATCAACAAGTGAACCCAAAAAACAAAAACAAAACTAAGCAAACAACTAGAACAGGAACAGAACCAGAGAAACGGAGATTACATGGAGAGTTATCAGTGGGGAAGGAGAGGGAAAGAGAGGGGGCAAATGTACAGGGAATAAGAAGCATAATTGGTAGGCATAAAACAGATGGGGGAGGTTAAGAGTAGTATAGGAAACAGAGAAGCCAAAGAACTTGTATGTACAACCCATGGACATGAACTAAGGAGGAGGCTGAAATGCTGGTGGGCAGGGAATGCAGGGCAGAGATGGGATAAAGGGGAGAAAAAAATTAGGAAAGCTATAATAGCATAATCAATAAAATATACTTAAAAATAAGAACAAGGTTAGCTAAGGAAAGTATCATTCAATAATATGACACCTTAAAATGAAGTGAAAAAGAAATGGAAATTTATCAACATGTATATAGAGGTAACATCATCTTAAACCAAAAACTCATTAAAGATATCAAAAACTAAAAAAATTATATGTATTTGCAATGCATAGAGAAGAATCCCAAGATTTCTTGAAAATGTAATACCATATAGAAAAAAATCACAACAAAATTCTGAGAAAAGAAAATTCTACTTAACAGCTAGAAATCTGTCCATGAAAACTGAATTTACTTAGGAAGAAACCAAATCTAAGTATACAGATATTATCTTATAGACAGTACTTATTATCCATCCAAATATCTTTTATATCTTAATGTGACAAACACCGAAATAAAGGATAGTAATTGCATATGGTTCTTTTTTGTTATTGAAAATATACTTGTCTTCTATACCAATGAATCAGTAATCAGATGATTTAGTAGTTATTGTGTGTAAAGTATCTATCTCATTTGTGATTGTATTAGAGATTATGAGTAACAGCCTACAAATATCTGAACTGTTAAGACAATTATTGAAGGCCACTTGGCTTACCAGAGAAATCTTTCTCACATTATCCAACTGTTGAACTCCTGCGTATCTCCCATAACTCAACCCAAGTATCACCTCATTTGTTCTAAAGTGAGTAAGTTCACTTTGGAATCATATTTATCTAATTGTGAAATTTACCTTTAAGTTTTAGTTTCTCCATCTATAAATAGATAATTAATAACACCTACTTTATGTGAGTTCTGATGATAAAATCCAAAAATAAATATAAAACACTTCCGTTTAATAGACTTTAAAATGTTTCTTTTTTCCCCCTAGGGAAGGTTTCCCTGACCCTAGCTGCCTTGGTTGGTCATCCTCTTATTTGCTACTCGTAACACTTGAACACACTGTTATTGAAAGCACTGAAAGCACCCAAATCTATTTCACCCAATAGTCTGTAAGTGCTTGAAGAGTTTTATGTATTCCCCTTGTACAGCAGTGTTGGGTATGATGTACCAGTGTTAAATGCTGGACGACTGAATCACTCAACTTTCCTGGCAGAGGCATCACAACTATGCTGCAATGTCAGGTGTGGCTGATACAGTAAGATACTTGGTACTTTAAATTTGTGAACTTGACTGAGAAATTTCATGCAATTTAGGATTTTGAGACCATTCTTGGGTGAATTTTTTTGGAGTTATATAAATCTAAGAGATTGCCCGATATAGCACTTACCTGCTCTTGATGTTGACTGAGTGGTCTAGAGTGCACCAATCTTTCTGGCAGTTTTCGGTCCAGACCATGTCCATTTTCCAAACGAGAGTCCCTGGGTTTGTCAAACCAATCTGTTTCTTCACGGCGTAGGTGATAAGCTTTGGAGACCAAGGAAATATCAAATATTGCAATCCCGACTAACACAAATGATAGAGTACAGTAGATGTCCTAAAGTACCAACATGCTCCAGGCTGTTAACCATCCATGCCTTTCAAACACAACTCCCAATGGGGGGAGAGTAATCATCTCCAACATTGTTTAAAAAATCTGTACCACAGAATAACCTAAAAAATATCATGTACATACCTGTTCAACCTCTCAGAGCAAAATAAAACAAAATTAAATTTTTAAATCAGGATAAAAAAGAAATTTAAGTAGTGATTAAAATAAATAAATGAACAAGTGAATATTCCACAGAAGTTATTCTACCAAACCTCAGTCCAATTGGTTCCTGCTCCCTCTGCCCACCACCCACCACTAACTAGTCTTGGGAAAATGTATTCCTTGAATACAGAAGATCCTGTCATTTTCCCACTATCACAACAAACCAGTTTTTGTATAGATGTAGCTGATGGCTTTGAATATTAAGTGAATAGTTTTTGAAAACACGGTGTTTTTACAATATTCATAAATAAATGAAAAAATTATTTCTAAGATGATTCCAGGTATTATTGCTAGGAACATGTATGCTATAATCATCTGGTAGACTGATATTAAAGATATATCGTTTAGAGTTTCTTATTAAAAATTAAACAATTATTTTCTGTGAGATTTAGAAATTAGATTGAAGAGTTTATTGACTCCCTTTAGTATTTATGTGACATAAGTTGACATTTTAACATGACATACTTTTTTGAAGTAATTATGTACCACGTTTAAGTACATAATTACTTCAGTTCTCAGGACTTCCAAAGTTTGTAAAGCTATTATTTAGTGATCAAAGATTCTATTTTTGAGCCCTGGCTGGCGTAGCTCAGTGGATTGAGCTTGGGCTGCGAACCAAAGCATCGCAGGTTCGATTCCCAGTCAGGGTACATGCCTGGGTTGCAGGCCACGGCCCCCAGCAACCGCACATTGACGTTTCTCTCTCTCTCTCTCTTTCTCCCTCCCTTCCCTCTCTAAAAATAAACAAATAAAATCTTTAAAAAAAAGATTCTATTTTTACCAAATATATAGAATTTGACTTTATACGTATCAAGTTTTATTCTTGGTAAAAGGATCCTTAATTAATAGTCACTGGAAATACATTGTTGCTTCCTAAACAGCAGATGGAGCAACTTTTTCTAGTGTTCATCGTGAGAGACTAGTTGATGATGACATCAACCTATACTTTCTGGAAAGTCTAGCTTCTACAGCGCCACACCATTGATGCTAGCACATTACAGCTTTTTTTTTTACGTTTGCATCTGATTGTCGTCTCTTTCTTCCAAAAACTTTTTTAAGGCAATTTTCTTCCAAAACTTTGTTTAAAGGCAATTTTTATCATTTCTTTGCTAGCAGGGCTGGCAGACCCACAGCATATACATCACTACTTACCTCTAACTACCTCCTGTGAACTTGGTCAGTGGTAATGATTAACCACCACATTTCTTCCCAGTAAATGCCAAGTGATGGAAAACGTATCATAACTTAGTCTTAGATTTGAGGAAATACAATGGTACATACCTGATTTGCAGTCATATATGCTTGTCTTACCTCCCTTATTAGATCTAAGCTGCTTGAGGGCAAGACTCATATCTTCTACATTTCCTGCCTCAATACTAAAAACAATGCCTTAGAAATGCCATTATATTCAGTAAAATTTTGGAAGTGAATAAAACAGAAAATTAGTCATCAACTAGAGAAAGAAGTTAATATCATATTTATAATGGGCACATTTAAAGGGGAGTGGTGGAGGGAAAATGGAGATACCTGTACTTGAACAACAATTAAAAAATAAAAATAAATTTAAGAAAAACCAACAAATAAAAATTAAACACCAGATTACTACACCACTGAAGAATTGCACTCAAGGGTATTTGTACCGGAGAAATAAAACTTATGCTCACACAAAAATAATAAATAAATATTTATTAAAACAATTTATTTAATATTTAATAATTTAAAATTCCATTAAATATATTTAATATTTATTTATTGTCACAATCTCATTAATAGTTATACAATCATTTCTCAGAATCTACTTCCTATTTATTATGGCTTTTCATAGTTTTAAATAGATATAAACTAACTAAATTGATGAAAAATATTTAGTGTAATAAAATTTGATAAATACAAAACAAATCCATTATTTAATCATCAGTCTAAAATGTTATTAGATTATCCCAACACTATTTTACTTCACTTCTTATATATATTTATTATGAAAAAAATAATCTATACTGATTTAATAAATAAATATCTTGGATAAAGTAGTACATGATTTTACTTCAATATATAATTCTACTAATTGCATTTGAAATACAATCCTTTAAAATATGTTCCTTAGCTGTGTTTATACAAATAAGTAGGATCTTAACCTGATCAAATTTTGTCAATTTATTTCCAATTTTAACTATACACTTTGTCTGACATTTCTTATAATAATTCTACATGTGACTAAGGATATCTATCATACTTTGCTTAGGAATTTATGGACCCAACCAAGTAAAACCAGATTGAATAAATTTGTTTTTATATTAAATTCTGTCTTCATCATTACAGTAAGTTAGATGTAAATGCTAATTGTTTATAACTGCAATTGTATGATCTTCCATGGTATATCTGCACTTTAAAAATTAAATTCTATAATAATAACATTTTCCAAATTAGTTTAAATGATTAGTTTAAACTAGAGATTAATATCCCCCTTTTTTTAAACTGATATTTTTCTTGAATTCTTAAATGTAAAATAAAAGTAAGCTATTTTGGAATTTTGCATTATTCATAGCCAATAGTTACATAAAGTTTAATTCTATTCAGTATCACAAATTGATGTGTGTGTGTATATATATATATATATATATATATATATATATATTTAAAAACTGAATGTACTTTTTTCTTGCATAGAGCACACTTTGAAATAATGTTTTCAATACAATATTTGTGGTTGTAAGAATAAGTATTACTTGGCTGTTTCTAATTTGGCTTCCTTCCAATCTGCTCTAGGGGAAAGCCTCCAGCTTTCTACTGACTCAACCATACATGCATAACAAGTAGTGGACTTCAACCTGATGGCCATAAATATTAAACAACATAAATTATGCATACTAGATTTTACATCAAGTGAGCTGTTTCAAAATTAACTAGAGTCATATGCAACACATCTGAAAAACACCTGATGGTCTCTAACCTAGAGTATGATTGTATTCAAAGAAAGTTCACAACAAGAAACCTGAATCGTTTAGATTTGTTTTGTCTACATGATACCAAATAGCCTGTTGAAATGTTATGCTTTTTCAAAATTACCTTAGAATCATTCAAATACAGATACAGCATTCTTGGTAAAAAAGAAATTTAAATATCCTTAATCTTTCATGGGTTCATACATATGTCATATGATTGGAAAGAAATATTTTCTACCTTTTCCCTTAATTACTCCAGGAATCCTGGATTTCAAAAGAAAAGTAGACTATTGTTCACCAGAAGAAAAGTAATATGCTTTGTGATACAAAAGCAAAGACAATATGTAAGATTTTAAAACATAAAACTTTTAAAGATAATTACTACAATTCACACATAATATTACACAGGTAAATTAATTTGTTATAGTAGTCCTTTGCCTAATTCTCTGTCACCATCTATATAAATGTTTTGTCTCCTTAATTCTTAAATATACTTTAGTGTGTTTAAACTTATTTTGTTTAATCTCTTTGATATATTTAAATACTTCATAATTTCATACACTGCACGATGTCTCATCATCTACTTTATCAAATCAGGTTTTTTCTTACAGTCCTTGATGATTGCGAGTGCACGTCATTCAAACATATAAAAATGAAATAAAACATTCAATTATTTTATTTGATTCTATGTAAATAAATGTCACATTTGGGAATCTGGAAATATCTATGTGTATGTGTGGCACCATAATAACATCTGTGTTGAGTAAATGAATTTGTCAAATTATCTCCACATGTGTGTTCATCATGGACACATAGCCTTTGGGTGTTTAGTCATGCCACAGACCTGTTAGAGATTTTGTTTTGTTATTTTATGGATAAGAATATTAAAGAGTCTTATTTTTAGCAGTTTTATATTTATGAAATGTGTGTAAAATATTGATTGTGAGAAAAGTAAAGAAAAAATATTGTTTCCATGTGATAGCAAAACTCTTGTTTAACTATGTAGATGCATTAAAACAAATGGCTAAATAAGTGAACAGTGTTTCATTTATGACTAATTATCAATAAAAATGGTCATTCCAATAGTCAGCAGAGAAGAAAACATATCAGAACATGATTAGGTGTAAAGATTTCACTAGGAAAAGTAGCTTGTCCTCCATATCCAGTTATTACTTTAGTCCTTTTCAAATCTGGATTGAACTTCTATAATTACATTGGTGACTACATACAGAAGTAGAAAGAAAATGCTTTTCATGAAGACATACATTCCTGTGAGTCCTCAAGGGATAATTAAGTTACCTAAGATTAAAGATAAGGAGAGAAACTTAAAAGCAGCAAGTGAAAAGGAGACAGTTACCTACAAAGGAGTGCCCATAAGACTGTCAGCAGATCTCATAAAAGAAACCTTACAGGCAAGAAGGGGCTGGAAAGAAGTATTCCAAGTCATGAAAGGCAAGGACCTACATCCAAGATTATTCTATCCAGCAAAGCTATCATTTATAATGGAAGGGCAGATAAAGTACTTCCCAGATAAGGTCAAGTTAAAGGAGTTCATCATCATCAAGCTCGTATTTTATGAAATGTTAAAGGTACTTATCTAAAAACAAGAAGATAAAAAATACAAACAGTAAAATGACAATGAATTCACAACTATCAACCACCAAACCTAAAAAAACAAACGAAAACAAAAATGAATAAAGCAAACAATTAGAGCAGTAACAGAACCACAGAAATGGAGATCACACGGAGGGTTATCAGTGGGGAAGGGTAGGGGGTGAATGGGGGAAAAGGTACAGGGAATAAGAAGCATAAATGGTAAGTACAAAATAGGGTGAGGTTCAGAATAGAATGGGAAATGGAGAAGCCAAAGAATTTACATTTATGACATATGGACATGAACTGAGGTGGGGAAATGACAGTGGGAGGGGGGTACAGGGTAGAGGGGAATGAAGGGGAGAAAAAAATGGGATAGATCTAATAGCATAACCAATACATTTAAAAATAATAAAAGGGGAGATATTCATATTAGCATAGTGCTTTGCAGTCTCTAAACCATGAAGTAATATGCTTTTATTTGATCAGAAATATTTTATTTCCAGAACTCAAACCACACTTACATTCATGTAAACCACAAAGGAGGGAAATAGCAATAACAAAAAAGATCCACCAAGGGGCATGAGTCCTCTCGGCAAGGTCAAGACTCTTTACATCTCTGTGCCTCTCCACCCTTGTCTTCAAAATTGACCTTTGGCTAGATAATTTTAAAAAATATTTATGGTTCTATATGATTAAACAGTAACAACAAAAATACCATAAGCCTGTTTTTAGCTGTGTAAAATCACTTATTCAAAACAAAAAAAAAACCCTGCAAAATAATTTAGAGTGACAAAAGGGATGATGTGAAAAGCAATTCAGGGAACAGGCCAAACAGGTGCACCTGGAGGAGCGTCAGTCCCAAACATCTAGACTTATAAAAGCGTTGTAAAAAACCCTGAATTTTAAATCTAAAAAACACTTTATATACACTGATAAGATTATTTATTGTGAATATCTTTTTTTGTGCTAAGTTTTCTAGTATACAATGCAAAAGTACAAATTTGTCAATTATGGTATTCATAATTAGAAGGATAAAATACAAAACTTTTATTTAAGGAGAGTAATAAAGTTCGACATTATGATAAATAATATCAGGGACTTGTCCAAAAATTCTCAAAAGAGAACATTCTCTGAATTAATAAATACTGATCTCATAAAAACCGCATAAATAACTTTCTATTACAAAGTCTAACAGATAGTACTTAATGGCTCTAAACCTTAATAATTTAAAAAACTGAAAGAAACTGACCAACAACATTAAAAATGCATTTAACACAAGACTATACAATGACAAACTTTCAACTATGGATTTAAAGAATGACCATATTTTATTGACATAATTATTTTAATGGTTTTGGAAAAGTAGACATCAAACAAATCAAGCAATGAAGAAACAATGATAAAATAATAAACTAAAAAGAAATAAAGAAAAGCATGCTACAAAATCTGTACACAGGATAAAATTTCCATTTACAAGAAATAAAATTCAAGTGAACATGCAAAACATAAACAAAGAAAAGTAGAATATATTCTTGGAGAAGGAAAATTAAACATGCAGAAAAAGAAGAGTTTGAGTTTTGAGAGTAACAAGGTAGTCTGAGGCCCAATTTACCTTCACTGTCTGACATGGCATGTTGGAAGTCATCCATGATGAATGCTATGTCACGGTCATAGCCTCGAGTCCGTGATTCTTCTCTCATGTGTTGCTGAACTTCAGGCAGTGAGTGACTGGATCCAAACTGATCTCTGGTGTCTGCAGATATTGGTGGCAGCGGTCCAGCTGCAGCCCTCGCCATTCCCATTGGCTGGCCAACAGGGCTGAGTGGACTTTCTTCTTCAGAATTCTGGGCCACAATTGGTATTCTTCCTCTACTCTGGCTAATAGGCAAACTGGTAGGCTTAGTTCTGCCAGAGGGTGATGCATGACCAAAGGAAACATCTAGAGCTTCGGCCTCTTGAGCTTTCAGTCTTAGGGAAGAGCTGGAAGAATCTCTTTTGATTGACAAATCAAGTCCATAAACAGAAGAAGGTCTGGAAGAAGGTCTGGACCTGCTCCCACTACTGTATGGCTTATCTGCTTCATCCTGCAGAGCTGACCGTATGGTATTTCCTAAGGTGCCCAGTCCTGTGCCAAGAGATGATCCCATAAATTTTTGTTGGTCAGTAATATTTTTTCTGAGGCCAAAAGTGATATCATCTTGAAGAAGTCTTGCTCTGGAAGAAATTCCACCAATAGATGAAGTGCTAGAAGTCATATAGCTTGAATAATCAGGTTCAAGGTCTCTACTTTCTTGAATAGGTGAAAATTTTGACATTTTAGGGTCAATCAGTGATTTCTTATGCTTTGACTGCTTTTGATAAAGTATGGCTGCTGGTAGTTGTTTTGCTGCTTGTTTTTCAAGTGTGAGTCTACTAATGCTGTACTTTTCAGATTTTGGAAAATGTCTGTAGCTAGTATCAGCATGGTAATAATGGGAAAGACCAGCAAGATGATCTAAGCTCTCTGCCCCTCTTCGGAATTCTTGTTTAATCTGATGTTTCAGAAGCTTTAACTCATAAGGGTCCTCCATTGGATCATCCTCTGCTTTCACATAACTGTGCAATCTGGAGGAAGTCTGTAATGGTGCTAGGAAATCTGTCACTTCTTGAGACCTCCGTGTTTCGGTGGTCCTAAGGAGACGGTCTGTTTTTGACAGATCCTTTTCATGAAGACTAAATGCAGTGGTTAATGCTGCTGTTCCTTTGGTAATCTCTCCAATGTCATCAATTAGGACAAAATTTCGTGAAGTATGATGGTCAATATCTGCATAAAAAGAATCTGCAGATATGCTTGATATCGGACTGCTCGCCATGCTACTCCTCTCCTCCAAACCTATTCTCAAGTCTAAGCTATTGTATTTACTACCAAGATGGGAAACAGCATATGTATTATCAGTAGAAACAGGTGCTATCATCAGGGGTTGGTTGCGAATCACCTCATAGTTTGAAGTTATCTTGGGCTCCAAATATAATGTAGTTTGCCGTGGCTTTTGTTGTATCACCATCATCTGTGATGGTAACTGATAAGAAGGTTGTGGGGTTGGCGTAGGTTGAGCCTGAGGTGTGAAGGACATTGTTGCCACAGCTTGGAACGTTGGCTGGGTCTGATAAGGTGAAACCTGCTGGTGGTACAGAGTTTGTTGCTCAAAATGGGATTGTTGGGTGTATGGGGTAGGTGCTTGGGTAGGAAGAGCAGGGGAAGAGTATTGGTACTGTGTATAAGGACTTGTGGGAGGAGCCAGTTGAGATTCTGTTTGGGTCTGCGGGGGGATAAACTGGCTGAATTCTGTTTGCGGAGCAGTTCTGGGTCGCTCTATTCCATGCTGACTTTCTATTCGGGTTGGTCTGGTGCTGCTCACCTCACTGTCAGACATGTAATCCCTATCCTCAGCTACTCCCTGGAGGTAGGCTCGCTCTCTCTTTTCTCTCTCCTTTAACAATGCCTCTTTCCTCCTGTTAATTCCCATTTCCAGGTACCGTAACTTGGCGTCAATCTCCTTTTCCTCCTCATCAAGTTCTGCTTGTTTCTTTCTAAGTTTTGCAGATTCCCTCTCTACAAGATCAAGTTCTCTGTCTATATCCTGGAGAATCTTGGCTCGTGCCATTGTGTTGGTTCTGCAGATCCTTCTTCTAGAAACAGTGCCCATTGTGCTGTAAGTCGACTGAGTTCCTGTTGAGGTCTCCTCAGGAGGTGGGTTTGGAAGAGTTCTCTTAACTTTTTTCTGGTTGCCAGAGGGTGTTATGGTTTGAGAACCTTTTGTCTGTAATTAAAGAAACACAATATAGTACCTTATTATCAAGGAAAACATTAAAGATAAAAACATTCATAACTTACATTTAAATAATGCAATTTTATATATGTTTTAGGTATGACAGTATAAAATTTTTGTACATAATTTTAAGTATTAGCCACAAGCAATTAACTGGAAATTTCTTTTTCTATCTTGGTAAATTGGTTCTTTATTGTTATACCTTCTGCAATATTAGAAATAAGTTTTGTAATCAAGCACAGAACTCATTGCTAGGCAGGCTTATATTTTAGTTAGACTCTTAGGAGAACTCTGATTTCCCATCCTATCTAATATACACAGGATTATTTACTAAATATATCCCTAAAATATTTGTATTATCTATCTAAAATTTATGTTTGTTAAAGATAATGCTTAATTACCAGTGTTAAGTTCAACTGTTTGCTTTAATCTTTCCATTCCTACTTTAACCTCTAGAGTGGCTGTCATTTCTATTCCAATAATAAAGTATTTTGAAATTAAACCCTCAAGTTCTTTAATGTCTTTTTTTACCCTAAAAAGAGTAATCTGAACTAATTTCCTATTTAACCTTTAAATATTTTCATGACAACTTGGGTCTTTTATTTTCTTTCAACTGTATTATTCTTTAGTAATTTTAGCTTCTTCCTAATGCCTTTAGCAATTCCTATAGGAAGCCCCCAAAAGTAAATAAATAAATAACCTGACTGCAATAAAAACCCATTGAAACCTTTGTTTTAATTAGATAAAGTATATAATTTGTGATTGGCAGATATTTTCAGTTTCATGTGGTTAATTTGTCACAAACTTTCATTCTGAGAATCACTGGTTTTGAGAATCACACAATTTTACAATGCCAAAAAGTATGAGAGAACAATTGACTATTTGCAGTTAAAAACAAATGGATATAATCAAAGTTAACAAAGCATTTACTGCTGTATTCACTAGCTCCTAGGTCTTTTTCCTTCTAGTTACCTATTCTTTTCTTTTTCTTTTTTTTAGATTTTATTTATTCACTTCTAGAGAGAGGGGAAGGAGGAGGAAGAGAGGTAGAGAAACACCGATCAGCTGCCTCTTATATGCACCATGACCAGGGACAGAACCCACGACCCAGGCATGTGCTCTGACTGGGAATTAAACTGGCAAGCCTTCACCTTGCAGAACTACATCCAACCAACTGAGCCACACTGGTCAGGGCTAGTTCTCTATTCTTTATAACTTTTTTTCTTTTTCTTACTAATAATCCAAAGACCTTAATTCTCTCCTTTTCTCCAAGATCATATTATTATGAAGATCAAATGAGACACTGTGTAAAGTCTTTGGTACATATTATAGGCATCCATATTTCCTTGTAAAATATCCTTATTTTACAGAAAATATAGATTTTGAAAAATTCATATTCTACACATCTTTTAAGGAAAGTTTATTTGCAAAAAATAAAAATTGAAATAGAATAACTTTTCTTAGTAATTTTCTAAAATAATTATATAGATATATATATTCTAAGAAGTTTTTCCATAATAACCTTTTCTGTTCTCTGAATAATGGTGTTCAATGGGAAGCTGAAAATACTGTTTCTTTTTCTTAGCTTGCATTTGGTATATGCATGAAAAATTTAAAATATAAATTGTTCATTTATACTACATGACTGTGGTTTAAAAATGGTTTAATAAAAAGTTGTTTAACTGTGTTACCCCGAAAATGTTCTGGCACTGCATAAAATGAAGACATTTCAAATCACAATTTTTCTTCTCAACCAAGGACAATGAAAATACCCACCAATTAATGCAACACTAAATGCTGATCCTGGCAGAGAGAAAGCATACAAAACAGAGAGGGTAACCATGAAAGGGAGCAAGTAAAGAGAATGAAGAGAAATTTCTAGGGTAGACACACAGTTAAAAATACTGAAGACATCCATTAAATGGGTGTACATATCTGTTGAACAAAAGAATAAGAAAATAAAAAGGTAAAATAAGAAATTACTGTAATTAACTTTAAATGTTCTGAATCAAGTGAATTTTTCAGAATTCAATGAGTTGAATGAGAACACATATAAATCACAGGAAAAATAAAACCTTGAGCAAACACAAAAAACAGACAATTGCATGAAGAGTAATGGTTAATAAAGTGAACTAGAAACTGACATTAGCTCTTATTACTTATTGCTCACCCATGTATGAACTATTTCCTAATTTAACTTCATGACTAACAGTTTCTAGTCCCACTTGAGACAGTAGGCTTAGCCAAACTATTTTTGTTGTTGTTGTTAATAAAGTCCTACATGAAATAAGCATTCCAGGTACTGAGGATTTCCAATTATCCTCCAAAGTTGCAAATATTTAATCATCCATGACTTGTGTTAATCAATATTTTGTGTGTGATGAATGTGAGTCATGGAAACAAGAGACAATGCTGGTTGGTAGAAGTTACACACTTACTGTTACTGACCCCTCAGTCCCCACACAGTGAACTAGCTTTGCTGTTCTCTACATGACAACTAACAGTTTTTACTCTGACTATAGAAGTAGTCGCAAAGTTGGGGACCTCTCTAGGTCTCCTTCAGATTTCTTCCAAATGACAGGGTGTGTAATGTAGTGATCAAAAGCTTGGTCTCCCATGCCAGCCTGTACAGACTTTTAATCCTGGCTCTACCTTTCCTGAGCTGTGAAACCTTTGGCATGTTGCTTAACCTCCCTGGGCCTCAGTTTTCTCATGTGCAAAAGGAGGCTAATATTTATCCTTACATTATTGGTTGAAGGAGCTGATTAGTTAAAATGAGAAAAGAACCTAAATTAGTTATTGTCCCCAATGACAGACAGAAATATAATGGAGAATTTAAAGTGATGTCTTGGCAACTTATAATTTAAGAAAGACTGACTTTCAAGACCATGAGTAACTTCTAAACTGGCTATTTATATCCAATCCAATCAATATAATGTAAAATAAGAATAAAGAACCCCAAAACAGAGAATCAAAAAATATACATACTTGCTTAGAAAAGGTGTATAAAAGAAAGTTTATCGTGATTAAGGGTCATATAATTGGACGTCATGATTAGAGATGCAACAATCTAGAAAAATCTTAGTGTTTAGAAAGTTTTCTTGATGACTAAACAGCTATTTAAAAAGTTGTTTTTAAATAGATCTGCTGCCCTTAATCTGTGAAAATTATCATATTAAATAACCATATATATAAATTTAAATTATTTTCAAATATTGTGCAAATAGCAGACCAAGGAAAAGTCCTAACAATACAATGGATGAAGGCTGAATGGGGACTGGAAGGATAGTCCATTTCGACTGTAATACTTAGGAGATAACTGTGAAACAAGCAAGTGCACTCCAGGGTAATTTTTGCTGTCCAAAGTTATTTTAAACAACATTCTTCTCCAGGGAATCAATTTATATCATGCATATTATATACAAAGGAAAGGAATTTTTCCTTGTTCTAAGTTGTCAGGATTATTAATAAAAGCAGCTAAGGTATGTGGACACACCATCCGAAGGACTTTAAAGATATGTATATGTATTATCTCATGGTCAAAGTAATCTAAACTGAATCTAAGGATTATTGAGGGATATTTACTTCTCCCCCCAAAGTTGAAGAAGCTAAAAATAGATGCTAGACCAAAATTATTTATCAATTGCTATATATATAATATGGGAAAAGTCAATTTATTAATTTATTCCAGTAGTTGCTAAGTATAATTCTAAAATGCATTGTTCTAGATAACTTTGTACTAAAGATACAAAGTTAAAAGGCATAAGATTAAGTGAACTTAAACTTTGTTTTCAAAGAACTCCAAAGTCAGAAATATTTTTTAGATTGTTGTATGAAGAAACTACTTCAGTCTTTTACTAAATAGCTCTTGTTAATAGCAGAGATATAGAAACTTAGGAATGTATTTTTCATTTTATAAATATAGTGTGGAAGGAAAGGGGCCACACACAAAAACAAACAAGCTCAGGGGAAGGCTGCGTGGCAGTGTGGCAGCCTTACAAACCCAGAGACCAAAAGGAAACACATAGGGTGGTCTGAAGTTAAAACTTTCTAAGTAAAAGCAGGTCATGGTGGGTAGTCTTGTCCTAAGCCAGTATTTTTCCCTCACAAAGGTCAATCTTTACCATAACTGAACCTGCCTGTTGTCTTTTTACACCTAAGATAACATACCTTTGGAATATCAAAGGTATTGTGATCATGGATTAATAACAGTAACAATGAGGGGATTTGTGGTCTATCAATTCCCCTCAGTGATACACACAAGTGATCAAATGATTGACACATGCTTGTGTCTACCCAACCCCAGAGGTTCTTTGCTGTCTCCTGCCTCCCTCATCTATCACCAGTTTCATGAAGCCCTTTTACACTTCCTCTTTTGACTGTACTATGTAAAATAGTTGCAAAACTGACATTCTCCAGAACATTTTCTCACCTCGTTGAGATTTTGCTTCCTGGCAATTGTCGACAGTTTGGCTCAAACTCACAAAGATTCTCTAAATGCTGTTGGAAATCAATGTTCATCATGATAATACCTTGAATTTTTAAGGTTGTTCTTCCCAGTTTAGCAGGAAATATCTTTATGAAAGCCATTTCAGATCATGGAAATGTGGATTCACTTACTAACAGTCCAATTCCACACAGTATACTGATAAATAAGATACTTTGATGGAGATAAATATCATATTACCTGTTAAAAGATCATCTATATCACAAGTCAGAAGGTGAATTAGAGAACTATATAAACAGAATGCACTGGGACCCAGAATAAGAAGAGTTTACTTTTAGTTTAGGGAAGGAAAGATAGATTAAGATGTGACAGAAAGCTTGAGTCTTAAGAATGGATGGGACTAAACAGGAGAATATTTTCTATGTGGAGGGAACAGTATCAAAGGTAATTTTTTGAAAACACCAAGGATTATCTGGCTTCATTTCACCCTAAGATGCATTAATACCTGTGAGATGGAAACACATTCAGAGAAATTTTATGCAAA